CATTATCTATACCCGTATTCAAATTCTTGTCATGAGTGTATATAAAGCCTGTAAAATGCTAATAATATTATAATATATATATTTCTACCAGTTCAATTTTTGACACAATTCTTATATAGACTTATACTGTATCCAAAATTACTGTGTCCAAATGCACTGTGTCCAAGTGAAGGCCACTCTCGATTTTCACTTATTCGAACATTTCCTATCCAAAAAGATCTTTAATTTTATAAATTAAATTATTTGAATGTACCTATATGTTTTAACACATTAATATATGATTTTATATAATGTCTAATGTCAAGTATATGACATTGTAAGGACATAAGGTTGTTTTGAATCACCCTGTATATGTTAAAATGAAAAACATCTATATATACTATATTATTATAAATACATATCTATGTAATGTTTTTGCACTTTCTTGTGCTGTATTTAAATGTATATTCAAAAACATTTAAAAATTATGATGTAACATTCATATAACAAAATTCCTATCTAAAAGAGGCATGTTATGTCGATACTGGAAAGTCTCGAAGTGTATTGTTGCCTCTTTTCCGCGATGCTGATTGGTTCTGTCATTGCGCTTACTTCGTGAGCGGCTGTCATTGCATATTTTGACAGTTATTTTGAGTATATATCGTTAAAAATGTTTAATGAAAAAGAATAAATGTATCATAAAAAAATCAGTAGCAATAACATGTTATATATTAATTTTATTACAGTTATGTTCTTAATGTATCAGTAATATAACATTATATAACTGTTACAATTAAATGTATAACTGCTATATAACATTGTTGCTTCCTTGAGTGGGAAATTACAAGGAATGAGTATATTACATGTTACAAATCTGTAATATTATTTGTTATATTCGGTTACACTGAGTTATGTAACCGTTATAATATAGTTATAAAAGTGTGTTTGCTGGGTACAAATGTCAGGAAATGACGTTTCGTGAATGTGACATATCAACAATTGACGTCATTTGTGACCAAAATTCACCGTCATTTTGCCACTTGGGATTGAGATCCTTTAAATTCATTTAAATGCACCATTTTATATGAATGGCCAAAAGCTGCAGATTCTGCTTGGTTTCTGCTACCAATCTGCCGTCAGATTGTGCGCGCGCAGATCCTGCTCGGTTTCTGCCATCAATCTGTCGTCAAATCATGTTAGTAGATCCTGCTCGGTTTTTGCTGCCAATCTGCTCTCAGATTCTGTGAGCAGGCTCTGCTGGCAGATTATTAGCCTAATGCGGACATAACAGATGCCAAATTGCTAGCAAGAACTGAGGAAATCTGTTGCCAATCTGCTGGCATATTGCGTGCATTTTGCTTACTGGGAAGTTGATTATTCGTCATTAAGTGATTGTAAAAGCATCATGTTCTTTTTTGTTTTGTTCTTTTATGTTTGATGTTTTATGAAATAATTCATTGAGAGGGAGTGTTGAGAAAGGCAATGAATTATCGATGCAAGAATGCAGTTGCACTCGGTTTAGTAAGTTAGTTACACCGCGAGAGCAGTTGGCAGTATTGCTGACGATCTTTTATATTGGCACTGTGTAATCGTTTTTTTTTGTGTGTGAGTGTGAACGCTTTCGCTCTCGACGCCAGCTTACAGCGGAGATGTACAACGTTTTTTTCTGTAACTAATAAAAGTGATACAATTAAATCACATATGTAACAATTAAATCACGTATTTTGGTTTATTTTGTCCAACCTAACAGCGTGTTATGTTTTTTTTTAATTCTTTTTGTGTTTGCGATACAATTAACTTTAAGGAGGAACTAGATGAATCAACTACATCAAAAGTTAATAAATCTAATACATTTCGTGACTCATGAATCTGACATTGCGCAAAGTACACACTTTTATCCTTTTAAAATATAAAATAAATAATTAATTTAAGTTAAAGTAACAATTTGTCTTGTAGATTATAATTTAATCTCAAAATCGTAAATATTATCTTATATTAAACTAACTTTTTTATAGTGACTGTACGATCTTAATTGTACGACACAAAAATTCATGAGAATAAAAATTTTATTTTATGTGATGACACAAGAATAATTTAAAATCAAGTAAAATCCGAGTAAAAAGGCAAAAGAGCCACGCGCAGTTTTTAGGGCGCAAAGGTATATAATTTAAACCAAAAAATAAATTAAAAAATTAGAGAATTTCTTTAATTACATGATTCGCGAAAGGCGGACGTTTCGGCCCTTTTTTGGCCATCATCAGCGCAAATAATACTAAACTCAACAATATAAACGGTATACAGAAAGAGTCTTAATCATTTAAAGCGCAGAGTTACATGGTAACCAACGGTAGAAGGCGTAATCCCTGATGTAGCTCCAAAATGTATACCGTTTATATTGTTGAGTTTGAACTATGTATGTCTGTGGCAGCCCGTAACGTAGACTTTAATTGAAGCAATAGCATTTTTTTTCCGTGTATAATTAGAATCATCATTAGAGATATTGAAGATCTTTAAATATTTTCAATTTTTAAAAAATCGTGAGATATTTTAAAAATTATATTTATACCTTTAACAAAACAACGAAAACATGTTATACAGTATTAAAAAATTCATGCATTTTCTCTTTTTGAAGAAGAGGGGGAGATCTTCGTTGATAAAAAAAAAAATGCATTTAAAATATATCTCTCACATTTAATTGTCGCGTTATATATTTATATCGAATCTATTATAATATATGTGGATTTATTAATTACATTGTACGTTTTCTAATGCATCTCTCGGGAATTGTTTGACATTGACATGCTTTCCTCGCCGTGATGGCGAGAGGCGAGTAGTGCAACGTGCGAGGGAGACAGAAAATCGTACACGGTACGGTTAAGGCTAACCGGTTTCCCAGTTTGTGCCGGTTGCATTTTCCACGTCCTTAGCTAATGCGGCTAAAGACGCTTGCGAAACCTTCTCGCGCGAAAACGGGTCAAACGAAAAGGAGACATTAATCAATTCACAATCTATTCGAGCGCGCGGTCTCGCGGGCCACGTGACGGCCACGCGCAGCAATGCATCGTGAAATCGGTGATAAATTAACGAGGATACGGATCATCTCTTTTTCCGAGTTATTAAATTTTATTCGCAACAAGTAATATAAAAATAATGGAAAATTTGTAAAAAATCAAATAACAATGGCGCATATGTGAGTTTCTTTTACCTCTAGCAATATAATTTTTGGATTATTAGAGGGTTTGTAAAAAAAAAAAGATAAACACTTTCATATTACTCAATGTTAAAGAAAGCTTTATAGTATCATTTATAGCGAGATAATTTCGTATACAAGGTTTAATTACGCGCAGTTATTTCCGGTGGAGATTATAATCGGCGGGGACTATTATAATACAATCGAAGACGCCCTAAATGAACCGTACGGGATGATTATGTAGGTGTCACGGATAACAGGATAATTGCACAGATTTCCGCAACACGTATTATAAATAAATCGCCTTTGCCGATTGCGGTACGCAGAATGCGCGTAATGTGACATTTCACTGAAGTATTTATTCCTATTTACTAGAAATTCGTGAAAGCAAGCATCACGCGTTCACATATTGAAATAAAATGATATAAAAGTAAGGCTCTTGCACGATTAAAATCAAGTAAAATCCGAGTAAAATGGCAAAAGAGCCACGCGCAGTTTTTAGGGCGCAAAGGTATATAATTTAAAGGTATATAATTTTCTTTCTGTATACCGTTTATATTGTTGAATTTGGTATTATTTGCGCTGATGATGGCCAAAAAAAGGGCCGAAACGTCCGCCTTTCGCGAATCATGTAATTAAAGAAATTCTCTAATTTTTTAATTTATTTTTTGGTTTAAATTATATACCTTTGCGCCCTAAAAACTGCGCGTGGCTCTTTTGCCTTTTTACTCGAATTTTACTTGATTTTAATCGTGTAAGAGCCTTACTTTTATATCTTTTTAAGAATAATTTAATCTAATAACATATAAAAAATATATAAAAGTGAAATAGTTCAATAATTTTTTATTATGTTATCGATAAAAAATATTTAAATATATTATTATTTATATGTAGATATGGCTGCATATTAAAATTTTTTGTTTTGGACGTTAGTAGCTGCCGTGCTGGTTATTGTGCAACAGTTTGGAAGTGCTCTAATCATGTGAGCGACCTTAAGGTTAATTGTTTTTTATTATTGTGTGATTTATAATGCCGAAATTGAAACAAGTTTATTGTTGGAAAGGAAAAATTGTCACTAAAAAGTGCACCAGGAGCAACTTCTATTTCAATAATTCTTTTTTTGTTAATAATTTCTATTTATCTAATTTAATTTATCTAATCTTATCTAATTTCTTGGTAATAATGTTTAGAATATTGACAGTACGGTAACTATAATTATGTAACGCGTTGTCATGTTATAATAAATTTTTTAATAATTTATGTCTTTTATATTGAGTAGATAAAATTAAACTGAAATTTGTTGTTAATTTTTATAATAAAAAAAAATAATTTTTTATATCTTCAGAATTTTCTGTTGTTTACAAATATCCATATTCTCCTTAAAAGTGAGCAATTCAATTGTCTTCTATTTAATATCTACGTGATTATATAATTTATAATCAAATATCAATTTATAATCAATATATATAATCAAAAGTAAATATTAAGTTGCAACTTTTTTATTATTATACTATATAGGGGATTATTACTGGACAGACCATTTACTATGTGAAAATTAAAAAATTTATTGTAATATATATCTTGTCCGTGCTTGTCGATTTTAGTCAAAATATTAAGCTCACAAAGACACACACATACTTCTTTTTCTTCTAAATGGGTTGGTACCGACATATACTCACACGGCCATAAACTGGTCAAAATATATGTAGGTTCCTCGAAAAAGATTAAATGAAATCCTCTTTAGAACAGGTGAAAATTCAAAAATAAGATCCAAACAAAGGACACACGCATAACGCCAGAACACGTCCGTTCTCGTCCGCGGACGGCAACGAACTTGTGCGTGTGTCTTAACTAGACACACATATACAAAAGATCGTTTATACTTTGGAGAAGCTCTATGTCATAAATTAAACAATAATAGATTTGATCGTAACCGTCCAAGTGACTCGCACAAGAACAGTGTGCTAAATATCTCACGTTTCTAAATATGATTTTAAATAAAGAAATAAAAAATTCAAGTAGGAAATGGGCTAATAAGAACCGAGCGCAGTAAGTAGGCGCAACTATAACAAATTATGTAGAAATTTTTTAAAATTATATTGAACGTTTCCGTGATTCCTTCTATTAGATAATCTTCAACAAATCCAAATGACAAAGAAATTCATGTATTTTGACTTTCAGTTTCCATCGTCATTGGCTGTCGTCCTAATTAAGTCTCCTATCGGTTCCAGCCGTTTAGAGATGACAAGATTAATTCAAAATAATCGGATATTGAAAATTGTGAAAACTGGGGAAGATATTAGATAAACAAAGAGTAAAGATAACGAGGAAGATCCACTGAAAAAATCCATATAAAAAAAAAAAAAAAAAAAAATTGTATAATTTCGTCAAATGGCGAATTGTGACAGTTGCGTACGATTTTGCGAAATTGAGAGAATTCTTTCGTCGATTCGAATCCAGATTTTTTGCGAAAAAGACACATAACTCTTTACATACAGCGCATTTCTCTCTCGAATAACATAGATGCGTTTACGTAATATAAAGACGGAGCAGATTAATTGATCCATTAAATTCGTTCAAATGCCGGCGCGTACGTTTATATGTCAGTTTATTTAACCCGCGTGCATTCGCAATGATAACTTGTACAAACGTACGTCATAGATATGATAATAAAACTTCTTCATGTTTTGGAACGCATAACTGTATATTTGAGAAAATTGAATAAATGTAAAGGTAAATAAAAATTTATATCTTTTAAATCAATGTAATTCCTTACTTGATTCTTGTGGGGAATTACTCAGAACCTTCCCTACAACATATTTAAGTGGCGATAAAATCGGTGGGGTGTAACCTTTTTGCAGTTTTACAGCGAATATTCGGACGACGAAACTCATTGTTTTCTGATTAAGATCTATGGTCCGTCGAAATAAAGGCGAATAAAGCTTTTCGCTGTTTTGGTCATAATTTAAAATTATACTTACAATCTTGTCGAGATGCGAGAACGTATAGTATTCAGTTCCCTTCAAAACGGCCGGGAATTCGATCGATTTTTATTTGATAATAATTCGCATACACGCATGATCAATATTGCACGGCGTGATCCATCATCCGTTTCAGCCGGTTTTGGTCATAATTTAAAATTATACTTACAATCTTGTCGAGATGCGAGAACGTATAGTATTCAGTTCCCTTCAAAACGGCCGGGAATTCGATCGATTTTTATTTGATAATAATTCGCATACACGCATGATCAATATTGCACGGCGTGATCCATTATCCGTTTCATGATACAATCATTAATCAATAATAATGCGTGTTTATTATTCTCAAATACGTTTTATATGCATCGGTGATCGAAATGAAAACTAAAGAGACGCAATCGATAATCACTGATTGACTAGCTTCAGCATCTGTTACAAAATATGCTATTTATAATTCGTCATAATATTTAGATCAGATATCTTTCGTCGTAGATTATTTATCATTTTCACGACGCATTATACATTCCACTTTAGAGATCGATCTCATTAAGTTCGTTCTTGTTCTTCAAAAATTTCTCAGCGATGAAATAGATCACATTATTATTGTTCAATGTACATAACAATCGTTACATAATTCGGCATCATTATTTGGTATTGTTAGAATCGTTACGCCATCTCCCTCTTTCTCTTTATCAATCGATAGATGTATCTGATTACGGATTTCTCGTACGGTCACCGAACATCGATGTAATCATGGAAAACGATCGACGACTCGATCGTTTTGAATCCGGCGATTAAATAATCTTCGCAGTCGTGATGCCGCGAACTTAACATTGAACTAACGTTTCGTCACGCCCGCACAGAGGAATATGAATTGTCAGTTTGGACTCAGTTCAATTTTATCTCGAAGGTTAAAAGAGTGGGAAAGAGAGCCTGCTGTCACTGACATTTCAGCCTCGCGAAATAAAAATCGCTGAGTTAATCTGACAATTTGCTTTAATAATTCAGACTAAATCGGTATTTCGTATATCATACATTGAATTCATATTAGTTATTTATTGTTCAATTCATCAAACATGCCGAAACATTAATAAATATAGAGGAAGGGAGGAGGTAAGACAATGATTTTAAGGTTTATTGATTTTTCCTTATTTCTACGATGACGCAAAAATAATGATGTATTCACTAAAGCCTTGCTTATTATCTGTAAAAATTGAAAAAATATAAAAGTAAATAACTAAATTAGAATTTTTTTTTAATTTAGGTTTTTTTAAAGACCTGTCAATTTCGTCATCTTGCCCTCATATGCGGATAAGATGATTTTGGTAAATATAGCGAATAGGGGACCCAGCCCCAATGACCTTGACCTTGACATATGTTATCAAGGACATAATTCTGAGTAACTTTTTCTTCTAATTTAATCGTCGCTCGTGGCTTATTAAAAAGTTATTAACAAAAAATTTTGAAATATACCAAAGTACATGCACGGACAGGAAGCACGCGCGCGCGCGCGCGCACACACACACACACACACACACACTCGGGGAGGTGCAAGGGGGGCCCTTGG